TTTTTTTTTTTTTTTTTATCCTATTTGGAGATTTAGTTAGCTTACCTAAATGGGGTTCCCAGCTTTCTCTTTCTAATTACATGGGTATTATAAAGCATGGAATTCATTCCAAGTGATAAAATCTTTAGTCAGTGAAATTTAGATGACCGTCATTAACTTATCTGAATTGAGCTATGTGAACTATGCAGGGGGGAAAAAATTTATATTCTTATTTTTGTTTACCAACTTACTTGACATAAATTACCTGAGGTAGTCATCCAGTCTCTCTCCTGAGGATTGGGATTCAGTAGGTCTAGGTATGGAACCTGGGAGTCTGTATTTTTGGTAAGCTCTCTGGGTGATTATCGTCATTGGGCAAGTTTGGGAAGTACTGACTGAACAGTGAATGCAACACTCACTGTTCCACTTCACATATTTTTTTATCTGATAATAAAACATTGAATGAAACAAGACAAAAATGATTGCCCTCTTGAGGCTTACATTCTGAGAGAAATGGAGAGACAATGAACTTTTAAAAGCAAGCATATGGCCCAGAATAATGTGAGCCTGGAGAAAGAATCTAGTAGGCCTTGGTTGGTTATAGTTGCTAAACATGCCTCCCTGTGTGAGCAGCAGGCCTGGTGAGTGAGGTTCTAGTTGTTTAAGATATATACTTTTAGTATATATCTATTTAGTATATATACTATTATACTTTTAGTATAATAAGGCCAATAATATCTGTTGTTGAATGAAAAAACGTGTATTGGGTTTATTCAGATATCTTTCTGAAGTTTTCCAGGGGAAATTTTGAGTGATTGTTGTGGTTTTCCCATTTTTAAATATTTCAGTGACTAGTTTTATTTTTCAAAGACATTTGGAAGCAGATTCATTTCCAGAGACAACCATAAGGATATATTTTGGCTCAAGTGTGATGTTTATTTTGGTATAATTAGTTTTTTTTAAGCTTTTAGTGGGATTGTCTTTTGCTAAATGATGGAAAGCGGTATTCTTACAATTTAAGTAAATAGAAGAATCTAAAGGCCAATGTACAAAATACTTTTCATTTATTCTCAGAAACACATACGTTCATTTTGATCACTTATTTAATATTTTGGATACCTGCGTGTACTTAGAAAGTAGAGATGGCTTTCTTTGGGCTTGAGTAAAGTCCTGAGTGACTGGTTTATATTTAGATTTCCTGGCTTGATTTTTGGAAGGTAATCTTCTGGGACGAAGATTGTCAGAAGAAGTGATTGCTGTTATAGCAGAGTTCTTCATTTTAATCAGTTTCCTGCTATTGGGACCATTTGCGAGGCGATTATTAGGGAGAGGAGGCATCTCCTTTTTCTTCAATACTGATGTCGTCTAACCAGCCACAACAGATGTTTCCCACCCTTCTCTCTGGTGCTGCTGAGAGCAAGTAGATGAGCATAGGCCCTCGGCCCCGTGGCTGCAGCTGCATCTGGCAGCATTGCAATGGCTACTGAGTCTGAAAGCCCCTGAAAGAACATGTCTATTACTTTGTGGTGCTAGTCCCCGGTGAGTAGAAGACTTGTCAAACCCGGTTAAATTTGTTTAACTTTCCAAAGCTAGTTCATAGTAAAGATTAAAATCTCACCATTGGACTGTTTTGAGTGATTATTTAATGTGTGCACACTTTTCTGAAATCATGACCTATGTTTAAATTGCATTTTTCTTTCCATATACGTGAAACATTGGAACAACTGGACCCAAGCCTGTCCTCTTTCTTGATTATGGCATTGTAGTTGTAGGCGTAAGTCGAGAAAAAGTTTGAAGTGTGGCTCTTTTGAGTGTTGTGTTTCTTCTTCTCCTGCCAGGGAGGACATGTATGCCCAAGACTCTATAGAGCTACTAACAACATCTGGTATCCAATTTAAAAAGCATGAGGAGGAAGGAATTGAAACCCAGTACTTTGCAGAACTCCTTATGACATCAGGAGTGGTCCTCTGTGAAGGGGTCAAATGGTTATCATTTCACAGGTAAGAGACTGCATTGAAAATGGCATATGTGCTTTTGCCACACAAAACCTCACACTCCAACAGTTTTGAGTGAAGTGCTTAAATTTAAAAAAACAATAAAAGGGAAGAGAAACAAAAAAAGAAAATGGCATATGTGTTAGCATTTTCTAGCAGCTTCACACTTGGCTTGGGTCACTCTCAGGCTTAGTTCTGTAAAGAATTGGCTGCCATATAGCAGTCTCCTAACTCTTAAGAGATTCATGCTGGTGTACTTAAAGGTTTTATAACATGGGATACATTTTAGCCTATGAGAGACAGAATTGCATAGTGGAAAGGGTGCAGGCTGCAAAAATAGACCTTGGTTTAAGCCCAGCAGTGCCATTTGTAATCTGGTACCTAAGGTTATTTAACATTACTTAACCTGAGTTTCATTTATTAAAACTACTTATTATCTACCACATGCCTTGCACTGTGATAATATTCTAGGAATTAAGATGTAAACAAAACAGACCAAAATCCTTGCCCTCATAGAGTTTACATTCTGGTGCGAGTAGGCACACAATTTTTCTAAATGATGAAATTTTTATGTGGTTAGTTCAGGTGGTAATAAATGCTATGGAGAAAAAACACAAAATGCTAGGGGTTGGTGTGTGGTCGAGTTTAATTTTTAAAAAAAAATAGTGATCAGGATGGCATCAGTTAGAAGAACTATCTTGCAGAATTGTTTTAATCATCAATAATATCATATTTAAATCATCCAGTGAAATGTTTTCTTAGTATACTCTTAGTAAGTGGGAGTTTTTAATTCTTCGTTATTGTAAAATAAAACTAGATTGTTGAAGAGGATTTCTAGAAAGGAAATTAGTTTCATTTGTAAAAATAGACTTCAGGTAAGAGAAAGTTTTCCTAAGTAAATTAAATTAAACTGGCAGCCCAGGGACTAAAAGTTGCCTTGGGTATGACTTTATTTGGCATTTTATTTTTTGTAAAGTATTGTATTATACAGGTGTTAATGTTCTTATTCTTGGTCCACTTCATACATTTTTTTAAAAAAATAAGAGTCTCCCACCTGCTTTACCATTTCCAGCTCTGGCCTGTGAAATGATTCCAGTAAAGGCCTGTACATGTGGTAAACTTTGGTGCAGCACTAAGCAGTCATTTTTGAGCTGGAGATACTGAACATACTACCTGTCATGTTTTCTCTCTGTTTTCCCCCACTTGAGCCCGTACTGTAGGAAACAAGACTTCAGTCTGTTAATTTGAGGAATGTTTGAGTTTTGTTTGTTTTTTTTGTTTTGTTTTTTTACTTTCCTGGTTAGAATGATACAAAAGAATGGGAAAGAATTGGCCTGTCCTTTTACTGTATATAGGAAGGTCTTTCATTCAAAAAACACTCTGAGCAAATACTATGTACTAGGCACTGGGAATATTAAGATGAACAAAAACAGAAAGGGTTCATGTTGTCTTAGAGTTTAGAGTCTAGATTAGACTCTGATGTATTTGAATACTTGTCAAGATATGTTAAGATTTATTGTATAATGTAATTGATTTCTAGAAGGTGGACTAATTTAAGAAATTTATAAATCCTAAACTCTAATATAATCTTACTTTTACTAGTAGTAATAAGCAAGTGCTGTATTGACTTATGTTTTAGTAGATAGCAGAGTACTTCCTTGCCAACTACCAGGAATTTAAAGGTTTCTACTGTTTATTTTTCATACCTTAATATTTATAAGTGGTCTTCAATGGTAAAGCTTTTATTTTTACTTTTTAGATTAGAAGTAAAGTTCTGAATATTAAATATAAATTTTATTTTGTATCCTCCCCAAAAGATATGTTAATATCTCTCATCAAATGTTGAGTTCCAACCATGTGCAATAAAGAAAAGGTATTTTTTTAAATGTGATTCCTGCCCTTTAACCTAGTGGAGAAAACAATATATGCATCTTAAAGGATAGTACAAGAAAACAACTTATGTAACAAATCTGTGGGAGCTGGGCTCTTCAGGGAGGGCATCTGCAAGTGGTCCTCAGCCTTTGCTACCTTCACTTTTTCATGTGCAGTCTTCCCGTTAGGGTCTCCTGGGGAGCCCTCAGGAGACAGAAGCAGAAAGAATTTTGAGGGAAGAGAGCACTTATTAATAGTCACTTGTAGGAAGTGAATATACTTTGGTAGGGAATTAACTCTTTGGGTTTTTGAATTATGTGACCTCTTTATGTAAAAGATGGGAAGATGTGCATTATTTTTGCCTTCTGAATGCCAGTTCTCTTGATACCTTTTCCCATTTTGGTCAACTTTCCATTCATCTTTATGTCTTCGTTTCCATAGTACTTAAATTTTTAGACATCTACTGTGGACAGTTGACACTCCTTGAAGAGTTCTCGATTCAAGGATCAGCAAAACAGTAGTGTAGTGACTACAGGCTTGAGATGGTAGTAGAGATCTGCATATTGATATCTGAGTGATGAAGTGACAAAGTCCGTGTAAGGTGATGACATTTTCCCATTATAATTGTGAACATGTTATTTTCTGGGTTTTGTGCACTTTTTTTTTTATATATATATAGATTTCCTTTTTTGTCTACAGTGTGACTCACTTAAAATTTGTAACAGAAAAGGTTCTTCATCTCTATGGTATTTACGTCCCTCTTCTGTGTTCTTTTACCCTTTTGTAGCGGCTATGACTTTGGCTACTTAATCAAAATCCTGACCAATTCTAACTTGCCTGAAGAAGAACTTGACTTCTTTGAGATCCTTCGATTGTTTTTTCCTGTCATTTATGATGTGAAGTACCTCATGAAGAGCTGCAAAAATCTCAAAGTAAGGCTTCACATGGCTTTATCTGTAATCAGCACACCATTCCGACCCAGTGACCAACATATAAGGTCCCAAACTGGGATGATGTTTTTTAGTTTTATATTAAGTGCAGTTATATTATCTTTTCATTTGATTCTTTTTCTTGCATAAATAACGCTTTATAGGAAATCCTTTTGCAAAGCTTTCATATATACTGGCAGAATATGTTTTCAGTAAAATTCAAGCCAAGAGTCAAATTTTTGTCATTGCTTGCCAGATTGAAAATCATAAACCAGCCCAGAAACTGAGGCTCTCATGCACAGAAGGGCAAGTTCTCACTCTCCCAGCATCTACTTAAGACAGAATCCAGGGGCCAGCAGTGTGCAGATGGAGTCAGTAGTGTGCAAAAGTTTCTCCTTCAGCTGGTCTTGGCTAGAGATTATCTTGTGGGTCTAGTCATGGGATCATGTTCCAGGGATTAAATTACATAGCTCAGAGGGTTTTGTTCTGTTTTGTTTTCCTGGCCCACAGATGTGGACTTGTTAGTAGTAAGTGCTATAGTAAATAAATATCCTATCCAGACAGTATCTTACATTCTGACACAGCTTAATATGTGTAATAATTTGTTACTTTTGAACATTTTTTCAAAAGGAACATTTTTTTAATAAGGTAAAGTGTTCCTTTAATTTGAGAATGAATTCACCTATGATCTTTCAGTCTCCTCAGGAATACAGTGTTTTATTGTTTCAGGTGTATTTGTATTTAAGCCATAAATAAATAAAAAGCCATTTAGGTAAAGTGGTTGCTTCAGAGAACCTACATCAAGTTTGATCAAATTTTCTCCTCACAAGGATTTTAGAAGTGCAATTATGTTATACTTTTAGGAGATGGCAAAAACTTTATGAGCAATACGTTTACACAGAAAGAAATATTTTAGGAATTAAATGGGAAACTTTGCTTTGACAGATGAACTGAAAATTCGTAAGAGTAGCAGTCTTGGCCAAAGTCAGCTTGCCTCATTATAGGATATGGCACATAACCAGGGAAATTTTTAAGGAAGATTATTTCATGTTTGTAGCACCTACAAGCAGTGGAATTCGGTGCAATTTGAGACTTCTAACTGTGCAACGCAAGTGAACTTGCAGTAGAATATCTTTACTCCTCTAGAAACGCAGTCCACACCCTGAAAGTATTACATGCTGAGAATGTTTTAATGTGGTTTTGGAAATGCTTTTTAAAATTGGTATCTGTACAATGACAGTTTTTGAAAACCGGACCAAATTATTGCTCATATGTTACTGGAAAATTTCTAAGTATATCAGATACTCTGAATACACCGAGTGACCTGTGTGTTAAATTCAGATTCATGACAATGGTGCTTTTTGACCTATAGTCCACCCACCGAATGACCCTATTCTGTTGCTCTCCTGTGCAGCTGCTAATGATACCTAATCTTCATGCTATTTTTAGCTCAGAAGCAGCTGCTGTCCTAACACTCTTTCAGACTGATAAACAGAAGGGCTGGTTGCTAGAGGCCTTAACAATAAGAGAAATTTCTTTGTTTGTGTTTTGTTGTTTTTCCTGATCTTGCTTTCCTTTCTTTACATTCTCTCCTCCCACTTTCACCCTACTGTTACGCTTCCCTCCCTCACTACTGTCCCTTTCTTCTTTCTTTCTCTTATTCTCTTTCTCTTCCTTTCACTCTCATCTTTCTTTGAAATCCTAGCATTATTAACAGAGGCAGGTTTTTAGCAGACTCTTCTAAGGAGTTGTATTATAAAAACATACTCTTCTTTTTAACCAGCAAAAATGATAGATACTTAAGATTTGATTAGTCATAATAGTATTGTTTTGTACAAATCATTTAGATGAAACTATTTATACATAGATTACTCAGAAGCTTGAGAAAATTTGAAAGTACCTACAATTGCTTTTGTAATACTTGTTCAATGGACGGATTGACTGTGCACGTACTCGATGATGTTACCCTGGATACCTGTTACCTTGTATATGATCTGCTTTCCCCACATCTTTAGAAGAGTTGTCTGCCTGTTACATGCCTTAAAGCATATGATAAAGATAAATTTGCCCAATTAAGATCTAATTTTTTGTTAAATTATAAACTTCACACACATTCAACAAATATATTAATGGTTCACATTGTCTGGTGTTTTCCAGTCCTCATAAGGTCCATCTGTCTGTTCTGAAGTTTATTTATATTTTGGTCATTGTGTAAGTTATATAATTTGTGGATTCAGGCATTGCAGTGTTTTTCACTTTTGACCGGCATTTTTTTCTGTCTTTTAGGGTGGTTTACAGGAAGTTGCTGAACAGTTAGAGCTGGAACGGATAGGACCACAGCATCAGGCAGGATCTGATTCATTGCTCACAGGAATGGCCTTTTTCAAAATGAGAGAAGTATGAAGACATCAGTGCCTTTTCTCAGTTTGTTAGGTTAAGAACATTAAAAATTGTATGGCAAAGTTTTGGGGCAATAAGTACTTAGCAAGTGAAGATATAATTAGAGGTACCATGTAAGTCATAACTACCACACTTGAATGAAAGTAATTAAAAATAAGTCATCTTGAAATGTAGTTGAGTAGGAAATGAGAATTAAGTTCTTTGGAGACTAAAAAACTTAAACTACCTTAGAAATCATGTAGGTCCAACCATATTATTTCTTAAGTAAGAAAACTGAGGCCAGAGGCTAGTACCTTTTATCCACGGCCATGTACATTACTAGTGGGAGAACTCGAGTTCTCTCTGTAGCCCACATCAGTGCCACTGCTGCCAAGTCAAGGGTCCATTCACATGTTGTTTCTTCTGGCATTGTCTTAATCTTAGGCATTAAACTTCCGGTAAAAACCATAGTCAAGCGCTTAAGGTTTGATTATTCTGTTCTCTAGTACTCGGAGGATTCATAGAGGAGGACTTGTGCTTTTTAGAAGATTGAGTCTTACCCAGAAGTTTTTGAAATCCAAAGGAGTTAAATAAAATCTGAAATAGTAATTGAATCAAAAATTATATTGAACAGATCCTCCTTAAGTAGTAAAAGACCAAGAGATAAAGAACTTAGGTGTGGAAGAGCGAAATGTAATGAACTGAGTCTACTGTAGGTTAAGTGATACATACAGGTGCACCTTGCCATAGGTAAAATGCAAAGAAGAAAAGTTATCTGTGCCAAAACAAAATAGAATGGATTTTTTTGCTTACAAAAAAGCTTTCCTTTTTGTAGAATGTTTATGTTAAAATTCTTTTGAGTATGTCTTCTAGACATTAAAGAATCAACTAAGAAGTCTTTTGGAAATTTATAACTTTTTATAGAAATGTATTAATAGCATAGTAGCCATTTTGCCAAGTAGTAGTGGACTTTTTTTGCCAAGTGGTTTGGACTATTCTCATGAAAGTACTTTGCGTCTTTCCAGTGCTACGTTAGAGAATTAAAACAACCTTTTGGATTTTCAGCTTTGCATTTTAAAAATAGTTTAATGGTTCAGTTTATGGTGGATTCTCTACTAATTTATTTTTCTTGGCTTCTTCAAGGATGGTCACCGAGTGTGAATGTTCAGATTTTACTCTCCAGAACATGTTTAGGCTTTGTTTTTAGCCAACTCAGCCTTGCACGTAGTTACTTATCTTAACTCCCACCTCCCTCACTATTGGCTATTTTCATTCATTCTTATCACTGAATACTGTTAAATGGAATACAAATGTCTGCCATTTTCCCGTGATTACAAATTCTTGTAAAAATGGTCTAAATGTTAAAAGGAAAGGCATTTGTTTATGCATTTTTTTGGTAGTTTTTTTCCTTGGTTTCTTTTGAGCTCTGTACTTTGAAAACCTGTCTTATTCATTGATTTAAATGTGTGGCCTCAAAGGAGCACTATAGGAAAGAGCTGTCATTATAGTTAATGAACAGTCAGTACTTACATTGCTGAAATATAAATTACCAGTGGTACCTTTTGGTTAAAATGATCTTTTTTTTGTTTTTTCCAAAATTCCTTTTTAGATGTTCTTTGAAGATCATATTGATGATGCCAAATATTGTGGTCATTTGTATGGCCTTGGTTCTGGTTCATCCTATGTACAGAATGGCACAGGGAATGCATATGAAGAGGAAGCCAACAAGCAGTCATGACATGAAATAGCCCTTTTATTTTTTATTTTATTTGAACTGCACACATGCTTGTATATAGGTTTTATCTCTGGTCGAATCCTTTGAACAATAGTACTTTTTTTTCTTTCATGGCCCTTTTTATTTTCTGTCCTTTAGTACTAGGTATGACCATTCCTGTCTCAGCTTAAATAGAAAAGCATTCAGGTTAAATTGGCCTTAACTGAATATGCTTGTTACCAGGCGTGTGACAGAGAGTGGGAAAGCTGTACCATATAAACTTGACCGACTTGACCGTGGCTTGTGTTTCCCCTTTCCTAAATTAACTAGCACTGACTGTAATTTATTTCCCTGTTTCATGTCTCCCTTCCATCCTGCAGGAGTTTTAGCTATTTGAGATTGTGGACCATCAATTTTGCACTTTAGAGAGTGATTCTGACTCAGATCTTCTGTTTTATCAGAAAATTTGGGTTTTCTTGCTCTTAGCTGGAAAAATGACCATCTGCCAACCTTGTAAAGTATTTCCTTGTTTTTCACCCGTGGAATATTGCACATGCATTGTGCAAATGGTTGATTCAGCAAGATGACAAAAAAATAACAGACAAAAGCTGCTGAGGAGCTTACTAACTGCTGTTTCACTACTAGTGTTCAATCTTCCAGCACGTCTGATGTCTGTCAGTTTCTGATTGGCGTGTGTAGGCTGCTCTGTGACTGAAGAACTTTTCAAACCAGCTTTACAACCTTCAGGAAAAAATCCCTTATTTATGATTGGACTTTTGTTGTCTGCCAGGAAACTGGTCTCAAAGATGTTGACGCTGCAGTTACTTTATGATGGCACACTTCCCTTGATCTGCTCTTTATTCCATCACTGTTCACCTTGTTTTAATTTTTTTATAATTCTGTAGCCATACTTATGAGCTCTTGATTTGTTGATTCCACAAATCAATTTCATTAAAGTCCAAAGATAGCAAATCTTTAGGTATATTTTGTACCAGATTAAATTAGAAGACAAAAAATTATGCTTTCATAGTTGTTACAAAGATAAAGAATGGAGAGATTTGGTGCACAACAAAATACAAAAATATATAGATATGTTAGCTGTGTGTGTGTGTATATATACACATAGAGCTAATATGTAGCTAATAAAATTACCCGAGGAGTGTAATGTTTGTTTATTTTTTGTGTGTATATCTTTGCAATCTATTTTATATATATTGACAAAAGAGACTGTGAAATATTTAGCCATGCAGAATATGTGACTAGACCAGAGCATGTGCAGGAAGACATTTGGGTAATCATTAGCTCTATTCAGAAATGATGGACTACAAGTTAGGATGTGTTATCTACACTTCAGTCAGTAGTATGAGCAGATCTCCAGATGTCAGCCACATCATTTGTTTTCCTTGTACATTTCTTTATTCATGATACTACAGTGCTTGTAACTGGGTGGTCCTTTTTAAACAAAACATTATTTGCAAAATAAAGTGTATTATTTGTTTTTAAAGCTTTTGTAAATAAAGGCTTCAGAAATGTTTTCTTATATATGTTGATGACTGGTAATTTTGTTTTGAAAATACTTATTTGGGGGATTTTTTATTTTTATTTTGGGCAGCTGAACAGAACTCGGTAACGTCAATAACTAGCTAATTATTGAAAAATCAGTCTAAGCCTTCTGCATTTCAACAGTGTTGGTTTATTCTCTATTAATTCCTTTACTAGATTTTAAGAATTGTTTTCTATCTCTCCAGAAATGCATTTATTCTTGAAGATTTACAAAGCAGATGCAGTTGGTATAACTTACTGTAGCTTCTTTTTAAAGCTGATCCAATATAGCAGGTATCTAATTGGTTTCTTTTTATTTCTATCTTCTCCTCCTCAAGAAAAAAACACAGGAGTTATGAAGATTGCCTTTTGAATAGCCACATAGTTGCTGAAGTTTATAGTTTGTATCAATATTGGTTTCTGTCTCAAGTAATATAATATTTTATAACTTCTATAAGAGGAACATTGTGGCTTTTACTAAGTCTAGCTTTTGGATGAGAGACATTTAGCTGATACATATTTAGTGTTCCTGAGCCATTAATTCTGGACTCACTATATTCTGTTTAATTCACTAGAGCAATGTCAGCAAACTGTGGTCTGCAGGCCCAAACCAGCCTGCTGCCTGTTTTTGTATGGCCAGTGAGATGAGAATGATTTTTACAGTTTTAAAATGGTTGGGAAGAAAGTATTTCCTGACCTTTGAAAATTACATTTTAGTATCCACAATTAAATTTTTGGAATGCAGCCCCACGCATTTATGTACTATGACCACTTCTGCACGACAGTGGGGAAGTTGAGTGGCTGCTACAGAAACTGCCCACGACATTCTTTTAATTTCACATTTCTGCTTGGTGTGCTGCAAAATCAGTGATGTAGGTAGAGGGCAGCATTTGGAGTGTTCCACAATATTTTATTACTTTCTGTTACCATTTCATACCCGTTGTGTCAAAACAAGGAAAGTGGAGTTTGAACGGTGTGCTTTTAAGGCACATTGAAGTATGGATTATCTTACCAAATGATATGGTAAAATACTGTGTTTATCATGCAATGACACTATAACTGTGCCAAAAAAGACAACATATGTTGCCATAACCAGGCTGAAGCCTCATCACAATATTCCCAATTCATGGGAAAGCAAGAGTTGGGAGAATTCGAAATTTTAAAATAGAATAACTCATCACAGCATAATTTCTTCACAAAAATAAGAAAATGTAACCAAAGTACATTTACAAGCAGCCCATTTGTTAGCCAAGCAAAGCCAATTACTGATGGTGACTTAACGTCACATTTTTTTAACGCAGTAGCCCAAAGAAATGTGTCTAGAAAAAATAAAACTATTGGCCTTTTGATGAGAATAGTTGCTTGAAGAGTGAGGACACTGCATACAAAATCAACTGTTAATTATAAAACAAGGCAAATGACTTTGAGGGTTTTTCCTTGGCTCTTAATGAGTCAGTACTGTCAGCTGTTATTTGGGAGATCTGTGCTGTTTGAAGCAACTGAAAAATTGTTTCTATTTATAGGCTCTGTGGAACAACTACTAGTTAGTAAGTCAGTACAACCTGAAGTGGGATCTACTAAGATGTGATACAACTGATGGTGGTAAAAATATGCACGGAGCAGGAAAAAGTAGGTGGTCACATTTAAAAACCTGTGAAAATGTACTTGCGTGTTGTGACTTTTGTCATACACCTTTGTTTTCTTCTAAACAAGAATTAACATTGTTCATTGTTAGTTGGTGTCTCATTTCTGCAAAGATCATGTAGAAAGAGGGAATGAAATCAAACTGTATGTATGTATGCTGACTTCCCTTCAGTTGACCACGACTGTTCTGGGATTCAGCCACATCTACTTCCAGCCTAAATGTAATTTTTAAAGAACTTTAAAACATGTTTCATGTTACACTAAGGATAGTTATGTAATTAAGGTTGCTTTTGTTGTTAATCCCCACCCGAGGATATGTTTATTGATTGGGGG